TCACGAAGTCCGAAGGGACAATCATTTTGATCTGCTTATCCAAACGGACCTAGCAGAAAGGGATGCTAGGTCCTGAGCTGGCGGTGCATGAAGTCGTTCACCACGTCGAATGTGCCCTTCTCTCCATAAGGACCACGTAAAAGCGTCAGTAAACTCGGCGGCAATCATGTATACCGTATTTTTCGCTGCGGACGCTAGGGCGTGTGAGGGAGCTGGCTTTGGCACACGCCACAGCATCACAGTGACCAAGACTGTACTTGCAGCCGAACTCACTGGAGCGATTATTGGCATGTCACTGGCAAACTCGTTCAGAGTTGCCCCATGTTAGCCGCATAATCGTCCACCAAAATACAGACATGCTTCCTTATAATATTAGGTTGTCCGGAAAGTTCTCAGCGTTTTGTGTTACTATTTTTTGTACATTCATTGCTGATTAAAAACTCATTCTCCCTTGCGTCTCAGTAGTACATCCTGAAGAGAATTTTTTTGCGCTATCTGATGGTATAATTGCCGTTTCACCATTGCTTGATAAACCCCCTTTTCCCAAGACTTTTTGAAGCATGTCAAAAGAGCAACTTCGGACGATATTTTTCTTCAACTACAAATTGGGTCAATCCGCAGTCGAGACAGCTCGACAAATTAACCAGGTGTGGGGGCCCAATAGTGTTGGAGAAAGCACCGTGCGACAATGGTTCGACAAATTTCGTTCTGGAGATTTCAGCCTTGAAGATGAACCTCGTAGCGGTCGACCTAAAGCAATACCTGACGAGGATTTGAAGGCGTTTGTGGAGGCTGACCCATCCCAAACAGTTCGAGAGATCCGATTAAATCCGATGAGTATAAAGAAAGTTATGATCGTTCGAAGTGAAACACTCAAGAACTTTCCGGACAACCTATCAGGTTCTTGACCGTTTCAGTTCGTTTTCTTTTTTCACGATTCTCCCATAATTCCCCTGCTACCATTTTGGACTGCTAGTGCGTGCAATACAGTCGTTTCCTACGCTTCTAACTCTAGCAACATGACAGATTGCCAGGAGAGCCATGAAGTATTTAGGGCGGATATCTGCTCGTATTTTTACGTCTAAGTCGCTCTCTAAGCCCTGTGTATTACTTTTACCTTGAGTTTCCTTCGAAAATGCAGCTGGCAACGTTCCAGGATCCGCAGTCTAGCTCATCACCAGCTATTACCGCAGACAAGAGCAATAAAAAGAGTGAAGACGCTGGCAACAGATCCTGCACCGATCAGCCAATCGCTCTCTCTCGTGCCAGAAGGAAAAGTGCTCCGATTTTCCAGGAAGGATTTGCAAAAACGAAAATACAACTTCTGGAGTCTTCTGAAGCATCTTCACCAAGGTTTGTGTTATCTTTCGGTTGTGACAGAACCTAACGAAGACTTCAACCCCTTGTGTACAATTTTTAGCACTCGTTCTGCTTCGGTAGCATCCAGTGATCAATCTTTCGTGATAGAAGAAGAACAGTTATCTGCTAAATTGGGACGTTCTCTTACTAGTGGCAGGTATGGATCGTTTCGCAGTTTTCAGGCGCAGAACCACTTATAGCAGCTCTTCATTCGTGGGCTGTCACAGTCTGGCAGTGCTTCGATAAATTTGCTTATTCAAATTTTGTTCGGTAGGTATGGCAGGGTTCATACTTTGCGATCTGAGCGATTAAAGCCAACTCCCGCGATCAAATAAGGAGTAGTCGGCGTTGAACCAACAGCCGATAAGTGGTTCTCTAGTAGAGGAAGAAGCAAAAAGTAAATTGAGAACACCTCAACCGAAACCGTCCACGAAGTCACACAGCCTCGTACGAGTTTTCCGGACTTGCTGGCGGCTCGAGCCCTACGGCCTCTGTGCAATCCTAGCTCATAAATCGTTTCCTCGCGTACTCCAGTACTAAATGCCCTGAATGCCACTAAAAATCAAGGAAAAAACGGAAAACAAAAATAATGTCTATGAAATTAGGCAACGGTAAGCAATGCGGGACGCAGTGCAGAACGAACTGCACCAAATCAGTTGCATCGCTGCTGAATTTGAGCAGCGCCTAAAACCAATCTTGCCTTGCAAAGTGGACTGCCACTGACATATTTTTTCAAACGAATCCAAATAAGGCAGAACAACACGTAAGCTGGAAAGATTCGGCAAGCTAGGACTCTCATCGACGAGCATAGAAATTCGCTGTACCCTCCAGGCGCTCACGCAATTCCGCTTGTGACCCGTTGTCTTGCAAAGTGAAAATAAAAGTGGTTGCAATGGTCAGGCGTCCCAAGCCTATTTACTTCGCCGTTTCGACTGACGAAGATGGTACATTCTCTGAGAATGCGGACCTAGATGCCAAATGCACGGTGCATTTTGCATCACTTGATCGCGGGAAGTGTCTTGACGTCGATTTGAGAGTTGATGACTTGACCACGACGATCCACACTACCGCTAATCGCTGGACACCTGCAGCTGAAAACGCATTCACGGCAATTCTTTTAAAAATTGCAGCGGTCCAAATGTTGCCGATTGGGTGCCGTTGGATACAGTTGCGCGATCGAATACCTCAGTGTTACGGAGTATGAACGCGGCCTAATAGTTGTATTATAGCCGGCGTGCATAAGTGATGCCATTTGCTCAATTGTTGTGTCTAAGTGTGTGTTCATTCAGGGGACGGGGAGGCAGGCGTTCTTCCTTGGTAAAAACTCGTGGAGGCAGACGACCAAGAATTACTGTAACTACGGATCGAACGACGCCTGTTCCTCCACCAAAAATATCACCGCCAATTCCGAATGTTCGGCGGTAAGTGAAACTGCTCCTTCTGTTACATGATGATACTAACCGATGAGTTTTCTTTAAAGATCCCGTCGTAGTAGCATTCATTCAAGCAAGGCGCGTGATTCTGAGCAATCCGAGCAGCAACAGGAGAGCCACGATGCATGGGTACCGGCAAAGGATGTGAATCCTAACTCTGCTTTGGGAATCTTACGTAGAGTGTCTAGGTAAGAGGTTTAACGCTCGATTTTGAAAGAGTGAAAATGATAAATTAATGAGCTTGCTTTATTTTTTTTAGATACACGCGTCCAATTAGATCTCCTTCTCCACAGCCGTCGACAGAAGCTTTGCCTAAACGTGAAAGGAAGACTGCCGAGCAGGCAGTAGTGCCTGTGGCAACTCCGAGTGTCGAAGTTGAAGACACAAGGTTGGAATGCCTTAATGTGAAATTTTGTTATATCAGGGCGGGTTGGGGGCAGACAGGATTTCTGCCCGCGTCCCCCCTCCCTTGATATCATGGCTTTGCAAGGATTTATATTCGTTTTGTTCAGATGTTGGAGCGAAAATACCGGAGTCATCGGAAGAACAGAACAAGAAAGTTCTACCGGAGCCATCGGAAGTACAGACCGAGGAAGTTTCCGTTCCTTCAGAAGAAGAAGACAAAACTGTGCCATCCTTGCTGGGAGAGCATGGTGGAGAGTCTTTGTTGCCCCAGCAGAGCAGATAAACGAGCCTTCGAGTTGCTCGAAAGAAGAGAAGGGCACACTCTCAGCTGTAGAGGAGAAATCTTCTGAAACTGTTAGTAACCTGACTGTCGAAGTCGCAGGGTGTTCAACGGCGGTTCCTTGGGAAAGCAAAAACGATGAAGGGAAGCCTGTCTATGAAACAAAGGTGTGGTCATCTTTTGGGTTGAAGTTTCGCCCATTCGCTGTTGTCCACTGGCAATTGAAAGCTGTACTAGATTCATTTTCAGGAACCTCAAAAAGCGAAGACTGGAGAGGTTGTGAAAATTTCGCCGTCAATCCATGGTATTTTTTGGGTTTTTTTTATTATCTTTTTCCCCAAGGCTACAGTATTGAGTCCATTTATGCAGCAGCAGGACGGATATCTTCACGAGCTGTTCGCCCATCCTCACGATTTTTAAACGCTGACTTCATTTCACCGATACGAAGAAGGAGGGGAAGACGCCCCAAGATCGCAACCCAAGAGGTAGTCAACACTTTCTCTGGAGAAAATTTTACTTTTGGATGCTTTTCTTTCCAAAAATGGTACTCGTAAAACCCAGTGTAAAAGTTGACATTCAGGGTGCAACTGGTAGTGAACCTGCAGTTGTTGTTGGGACTACAGAAGAAGCGGGCAAGAGCGAAGCAGCTGCAGAGCAGAATGTGGATTCTTCATCCGTCCCATCTGGAGCAGTTCCAGTCACCAAATTCAAAACTGCAGCTGCTGGAAGGTCTCATGTAATGAAAACCAGGAGGTTGATAATTAAACATAGCTGTTTTTAGAGCAGTTGGGCAGCAAAGTATCGGCGCTGTTGCGACGGGGGGCATTTTGTACCTTCGCAGCTTCATTCGTTCCGGTTTGCGAAGTCTCACTCTTGTGAAACCTGTGAACTCTTGTGGAGCTGGAGCAAGCTCGTCCAGCCACCATGATAAAACCTGTCAACTCTCGTAAGGCTCTCTCGATGGCTAGACACGACGATGGGAAGGCAGAAATGCAAAATGCCCATCCCCGCTGCCAAACTGCGCCGAAAGTTTCTTTTGCTTTATTCCTGAAAAATGAAATCAATCATACTTTTGCAGGGCTTCTGATGAGCATCCGAGAATAAGGCTAAAGATAAAGCTGGGCAGAACTCCATGGATCAAGATTGTGGGAAGCAACAATGAACCCAAAACGGAAGCGACTACTAAACTGGCCCCTGCCGTTGAAGTTCGTTCCTTTAACTCAAATAGAACTTTTGGGAGCTTTTCTGAACCCTGATTTCTATTATGTATGCGTCAGTAGTCACAGATATAATGGATGCGAAGGAGTCGGGGAGAACTTTAGTTGAATATTCGCTGCTTGGAAACCTGTTGGTTTTTAAAAGTTTATGGTGAGTAAAATAGATCCAAGCACATTCCGCGGTGTCCGAAATGGGTGAAGACTTGAGACCGTTCTCTTTTCTTCTGTGGCGCATCGCTCTATACCGCATCAGAAGAGGCGTATGATTGAGGGAGGTACGAGTGACTTCCTGCCCTACCTGTTGTCGCCGAACTGTGCCTTTTGAATACGATGCAATACTACCTCTTCTTCCGCACCTGGCAGAAAGACCACTGAAATTTGTCGTAGACATCCTCTGTTAGCATTTGAAAACTTAATATAGTTGGTTTGAGTTTCGTTTACTGGTAGTATTCCTGCGTTTTAAGGGTTGTCAGATATTAAAAGTATCTTGATCCTACCCTTGCGCGACAACAGCTACTGAAATGCAAGGCATTTCGTTGCTGTAAAATCTGGTTTGAAAGAGAAGAAATGAAACAACACCATCTATTCAGCGTGCGCCTGGCAGGCCAAAGGCTCAAGCGAAGCGGTACACGTCTGTGTGGTCTCATTACGTTCCATCTGTGAAGCCTGTTCTCGGGAACATTTACTACAGTGACGGTGAGTAAAGACGAGTTATTTTTTTTCTTTTCTCTTTGGAACGGATATGCTTCCTTTTGCTGGGTGATGAAGCTCTCGACAACGAGACGTGAGAGCGAAGATCTTTAGAATTGCACTAACCATGTCTCTTAGTAAGAGCATATTGAAAGATTAGCTTTCAGCGATCTTTATTCAGAGTACGCCAGGAATTTGCTCCTAATACGGTCGAACAGGTTTTTATGTTTATTTTCTATGCTGACCAAGGATTTGTTTGCTCGAACCAGTAGACGTTTAAATTAGTGAATCTGTTTCCGCAGTGTCGTCTGACACCAGCTGTGGTCCGCAGCGACAAAGACACGCCTCGCGTTCAAAAATGGTCAGTTTTGCGGCTCAATTGACCAGAATGGCGAATAACTTAAAAATGAAGTAAAAAGAGAAAAAAAGCAAGTCTGAAATGTATAATCTAAAACTCCATGCCGAACCGCGTTCATTAGGCGAAGAAAAAACGTGCTCGGACGAACGTTCACTTGTTGCAGCAAGCTCTTTCCCCTTGTCATCTCATTCTCACCATTCGAAATGGATAGAGCTAGTAGCGGAACGACCACGGCACCTTTAGGAAAAGAAGTTTGGGCGTTGCCGTGGCTAGTGGTCGAAGCCATGGCGCCGTCACGAGCGGATTGCGCTTTACTCACGTAGTTTGAGCGGCGAAAGTAGTCTTCGTGGTCGTGGGCAGGGCTGCATCGCCCAAGGAAGGCGTTAGAACATTAAATGAGTGTGGAGCGTGCTTTTAAATGACCACTTTGGTTTGGTTTGGTTTGGTGGATCCCGTCTCCTGGGACAGAATGTTTACGGCTCGCTTCTGCGATAGCCTTGTACTCACTTATGGTCGAAAATGTTTTAATTTTGGTGAATTATAAAAAATTTACCCTCCGAAGTCTACTGGAAACATTCAGGCACTGTGGAAAAGCTTGGTGTGTCCGTGAATGCGGTGATGGATCGTTTGTTAGCTGAAGTATGTCAGGATGGCATTGCACGGCACTCGGCTATCATCAACAAACGAGAGAAGAGAAAAAGGTTCTGTGACTTTTGTTTTAGGGACGAAGGGCCTTGCCGTTGTCAAAATGTGGTACTAAGAAGTATTAGAGACTGTGCCTTTCGCAGAACTATTGAAAAAGTTCTTATTATCGTATTGTCAGAAATATGGAAAAAGCGCGTGAACGTGTGCATCGTTTGAAGGAAGAAAGGGCTGCTCGTCTTGCACAAGGATTTGTTCCCGCGTCAACGAAAGCGCAAAGGTACTCTTTTAAGACTTCGAAGTCATTTCTTTTTTGAATGTCAATCCCGTTTTCCAGTACTGCATCGAATCAGCAAAGTGAAGCAGGTCCACGGGTTCGTAATGCCAAACACCGGTTGATGCAAAAGGACTTCTTGTATCCATCACTGAAGCGTGGAACGAAAGCTGAGCAGCGAAAGGTACGTTTTCATTTCACACGTTTATATGCGGTGAATGCTGCCGAGGGAATAATTATGACCTCTCTCTTTCCTTCTGTCTGGGTTTGGTCAGCGTAAGCAGGCCTTTTGAAGGTGAAAGGCAGTTGGCACGATAAACCCCAAGACGACCAGGATCAATACTCCTGGCAGGATAGAATTTCGCAACCCTGGGAGCGAAATTATGAAGCGAAGGGATTGGTATGAAGCGGCCGTGATGCTGCATGCATATATAGGTACACATATGCAGCCGTATCTTCGGTAGCGGTGATTGGTAAGATGCCTACGGGAAACTCGTCCGAAATCGATTTACAAGTCACTGAGAAGGAGGCTTTTCTTCGCAAGATTTTGACCGTTTCACTCCGTTCTTTCGCCATTTCCCCACTATACAGCGCCCTACTAGCATTTTAGGCTAGGTAGGAAATCATCATGCTAACTGCCTTTAACCTTCGCAGGTCCGAGCAGGGATGATCACTATTTACCCCAGTCCCATTCCAGAATAAGGAAATCCGTCAACAACGCTCTCGCAATGTAATGAATCAGCTAGCAGAATCGACTCGAGAGAAAGAAACTGCTCCAGCATCTCGACGTGGATCTGTAACTGCTGCAAGTAAGTGCCAAGATGTTCCATACCAAACATTGCCATCATGCCCGGTTTTCAGAGATCAGACCGCGCGCACCGTCACCTTTCGACCCGGAAAAAGAAGAGCGCCTTCGACGGGAAGCAGAGCAACGAGAAAAGCAAAAGAGGCTTACTATGCCGGTTTGTATTTCAAATATTGAACGAAATTCTTGAAGGTTTGCTAGAAGTAAGGTGTAGTTGACGTCTGGTTGCTCTGTCACGCTTGGGGTTGTATTGAAGTGGTATAGGTATAACTAACCAACTTATATTTGTAACCCACTTGAGCAACATTCGTACTACACGACTTGAGCTATTCCGTCGCGCAGCTGAGCCAAAAGCGTCTCCCCGGTAGGCGTTTGACCCTTAAAAGGTTCGAAATTGGTTTTATCTCAACTGTGATTTAATTATCAGTTTCACCGGTCCGAGACATACGCGCGATTCTGACAGTGGGCGACTTTCGAGTAGCAAAGTATGAATTTTCATAGCATTTTCCTGTTTCATGCACGTTATATACCCTACCAAGTTTTCTGCCAAAATTTTAAAATGTTCGGACGGTTGTGAAAGGGGATCAAACCAGGAGAATATAAGCACAATTGTGCCCACACCCACGTGTCCTGCTTGATCAGGCCTCAAAGCAAAATGCCATAAGAGTCGCATTCCATGCTTATCTCATGGGTAAAGATAGGGAGCGCCTATCGTATCACTACTACCCGTTCTCGCTAGACTAGGGGGCGTCCACGTTGTGCCGCGGCGAAAGTTGCTTTGCAAGTATAGTCCCACGTGTGCTGCTAGCACCTGTTTTATTCAATCTAACTATCCCGAAGTGTGTCAGGTTATCTGGCCAGTACCCACTGGACTAGGTTTTGCGCGTCGCGGCAGTGTGATTGTATCGAACTACCAACCAAACACGCTTGCCTGGGGCCAACACGACCCTCTATCTCCAGGGCCGGTAAATTGGCAGTGGACCCGTGGGTAAGATCAATAGATTGACTTGTACGTCTTGCCATATAGCGCTGAAAAGCCGTGATACCGTAGAACAAGAGTTCATGCCGCATTCAGAAGAGGATTTGGTCAGTGAGTAAGCTTGGTCCTTTTTTTTCTATCTACTTATCTGTCTGCTATGACATATCAGCGCACATTGTAGAAGGTTGTTTCAGATATCCTTCAACACTTTCCTTTCATCGAAGAGTTCCATGCTCACAGCTCAACCACTTTTGCAACCACAACGGTTCGAGCGATCGCACGACTGCCCCGATCACTTTTATCGAGAACTGCTATGTGAATCCAACACTGCGGTTGAACCTGCTGAGGATACGTGAGTTGCTTATGCATTCTCGATAATAAGAATCAAAACAAGATTCATGCCGTCTTACCCATTAACGAGACATTCCGCGATGACCGTATGGGCAGAGCTCACAATCACTGTGCGTTCCTCATTAGTGCGTCCCTCGTTCCCATACAAAGGTTGGGAGGAGCGCCTCATTGAAAAAAGGGTGCAGTTTGGCTGTCGTGAGTAGCACTCAGCGAAGCCCGGTGTGCGGACCTCCTTGTGAAGAGTTGTAAATTCTTGAACCAAAGCGGCTCACGCATACCATTCCGCAGCTTCACAAGAGTTTACAGGCTTCACTTAAAGGCAGTTGGCACGATAATTTGGTACTCGGCCTAAAATGCTAGCAGGGCTATGTAGTGGGGAAAATGGCGAAAGAACGGAGTGAAACGGTCAAAATCCGGCGAAGAAAAAGCCTCCGTTCTCAGTGACTTGAAAATCGATTTCGGACGAGTTTCCCGTAGCATCTTGCCAATACCGCTACCGAAGATATAGGTGCATGTGTGTACTCATATATCCATGCAGCCCCGCTGCCGCTTCATAACAATCCCTTCACTTCATAATTTGCCTAGCAAGAACCACTACGAGCGTCAGGAACGGTCGTCCACTTGTCGGCGGGGCTGGGCGTGGCGGGCGTTCGGGTCGAAATGTTGTAGCATGATAGGGCCCTTATAAGGATACCTTCCTTGGAAAGGGCGCTACGCAGCGCCTGCTCAGGGCGTGGAATTCTGTCCTGCCAGGCATATTAATCGTACTCGTCTCTGGGGATTTATCGTGCCAACTGCCTTTGAATGAAACGTGTTGATTAATGTGAATTAACAGAAGGAACTAGCAGAAGTGTAGATGCCCCTCCCAAGCCGATCACAGTGCGCGTGAAACTTTATTGCATACTGTGCCTTGATAAGTGTCGTAAATCTCAACCGTTTCTAAGCGTTAGAATGGAAACTGAGTTTCATATGGAAAACCGTAGTAGCATTTCTTGGGTTGCTCCTTATTCAGCCGTTGAATCAGGCAGATGCGCGAGCTTGGAGGACAGCACAAGACAGACAGACAGACATGCGGCTTAGATAGACAGGACAGACAGACAGGGCAGATAAGGAAAGGACAAAGCAGACAAAACAGAAACATAGGGCGAAACCCCTCATTTATAGTGTATTAGGATAGTTTCATTTTCACTCTTTTATTATATGCTTTTCAGTTGGAATGAATTCGATATGGACGGTGACGACGGTCTTGACGTGACCACCATCGAAGCGGTTCACATACCAAAGCTCGATGATTACGTGGCTCCACCGGAACTTGATGAAAGTGCTGAACCCGTTGCGGCATCTGTTGAAAAATTGCTGATGAGACCCGCTGTGTACATTGAAGACGATGGCATATCGTATTTACATGAAAGGTTGGGTTTTCTTCATCATATTCTGTTTTTTTTCGTGTGGCTATACTGTTAGCCTCATTCCTCTACATTATGTTCAAGGGCACTGGAACAACCTGAGTTACGGCGAAATCTACTGGCAATGGCAATCGACTGCATCTCCACCTTGCACGTGGCCCGGCTGTCAGCAAGTGGTCGCGAAGCTGCCGTCATCGTTTATAATGCAGTCACTACCCAGGCCAGCAAAATGCGTGACGTCATTTGCATGTTCAGTAGGGTGAGTAGTACTGTCCGTTACTTCCATAACAATGCCCTGGTACGAGGGTATCAAGGATTTCAAGAAATATTTTGAGATAAGAGATATTTTGGTTTGTTTTGCCAACCCAAAAATTGACCAAGGTGTTGTATCCACTTGGGGGTGTTGCAGTGAAGTCCAAGGGGCTGGAAGCTTCGCAGACTTGACTTTCTGGTATCGAAGCTTTCCTAAACTAGATACAGTCGTTTTCACTGAGACGCTGGAACATGAAGGTGTTTCGCGCGGCACCAGTCCGTTTTCCACCAATCGTTGAAAGTGAGCTTGGTGGAAAACGGACTGGTGCCGCACAAGCCGAGCCCTTGGCACGCGCCAACATCGGCTCCGAGCGAGGCTATATGATTGCATGATTGTTGACAATATGTATGGATGGCTCCCAAAGAAGCTAAAGCAGATGTCTAAACAACCGACTTGTAATTTCTTAGATAGTCCACGTAAAAGTTCTGTTTAGGAGCGAGAAGAAGCTGTTTTCTGGATGCATCGATATCTTATTGAAATGCTACCGGTGGAACTACTGGCTTCCTATTTGTTTCTACTTCGGCATACTAGGCTACTGGTGAGTTGACGTTGACTAATATACAATTCATATCCCGGGGATAGATAGGCGCAGCTGCGTAGTTCATCTGAACATACATAGCCTGTGGGGAGGGGGGGGGGGCATTCTCCGTGGAATGTGTCTATTTGACTATCGTCCTCCCTTGTCGTAGGCAGTGACACAGTTACAGTCGTTCCAAAACGAAAATATCCCTTAGAAGCGCAGCCGTTCAAAAGGAGTACGCAGCCACGCCTTTCCCATCTCTGGATATGGAATAAGTGTATAGTTTTATTGCTGAGCTCGTCCTGGCTTTTCTGTACTAGTTTTGGGAACAGGCGATTAAGGCAATATTTTCAGAATTGCCAAGTGAAATCGATAGTTCGGAGTACGCAGAACGATTCCAGCCCGTGGCCAGAGATCACTCAAATGATTATCAAGTACATCGAAGTCAACGTCGTTGAACCAGACGCAGCTGAATTAGACCGGACGATTGCTGTGAGTTCTTCAATGATTCTTTACTGTTAAACCACACTCTGAGGTATGCAGGGTGGGATTTCTTTGAGTTGTTGCAGAAACACACGCGACAACGCGCGCGAAATACTTCACTGCAGAATACGATCCCTCACGAAATTTCCTCCCTTGGTGGGAGCCCCTCTTCCTCTCCATGCTCTGTATCCTCCCTCTGACCTACTCCTACCTACCATTTTCCCCAACTTATACTACTTTTCCGAAGTTTTTTTTTCTGGGAGCTCCCCCACTTCTCCAAAAAAACCGCCGTCGAGTGAGAGGAATGGAAGCGGAAGGGGACGGGGTTGTAGAGCGCATGTGAAACGGGAAAGCCGAGAAAATTCGGCAACCGTAAATATTCTCCAAAGGCAAGTACTATTAACCCGCCAGCCATCAAATGCGGGCCACCTCGCTGGGTATCCCGAAGTGCGACGTGACCTGTGCCTTGCATCCGCTTGACTTGTGCAGTTTGTCTTATTGTCTCATTTGATGAATAAATGAAGAAGTAATATTGTTCAATTTGGCCGTTTTCTGATGTTTCACTTAAAGACATTACAGTCATTGATTTTAGTCAGCTTCACTACCGGATGTTGTTTTTGTGTTGGTCGCTCCAAATGTAGCCGTGGGAGACTTCTCAGTAAGAGATCGGCATTACGATTCTGTATTCAAGTGAGTCTTTTGATTTGCTCAAATGGATGAAAGCGAAAAGTAGTTTTCCGAGAGACTCCTTTCTAGATGGCTGCGTGACTTGGGTAACCCTGCATCTGTTCTGATACGTTTGAAAATAGATGAGACGTTCTCGACTGCCATAAGTGAAATGTTCTTCACTGGAGTGAACATGATTTCACGAGCGGTATGTTTGTGTTACTTTGGCCCTTTATTGTGAAATTAACTAATTAGTAGTTTAACCCCGCTTCATTTGTTTTAGGTTACAAAACTTGTCAGAGAACATAAGCAAAAGCGGATAGTTCTCGTTGGTTGGGGTACTTCGTGCTGTTTCAATCACGTGGTTGGTGCTATTTTGCTTACTTACTTTACTTTTTGTTTACGTTGTTGACACCCGACTAATGAAAACAATGCATTTTCTGTGGTTCTAGGTACTCAACACAGTTCCCGGCGTTTCGGCAATAATCGATCTGGCCTTCCCCTTACTGACAATAGATGGAATGCGAGGGGTTAGTGCTTTTGACGAGTTGCGATTTATCAGTAGCCGTGAATTTAAACTATAAACAATATAAATTTGTAGTCAAATGAAAACGATTTTGTAAATGAAGTTGGTTTTCAGGAACCCGATGATGACATTCTATTAACCTATTGCCCAACGCTTTATCGTATGTTGGGTTCTGAAGCTGGTCCTACCACGCAGGTGCAATGAAATAATATCGAATCAAAACATGATAGTAAGTGATTTTCCTCACATTTGGCAACGCCCAGTGGACCCATTTAATAGTCGTGACTTTCTAAAGGTGCAACAAGGGGAACGTTAAGTAAAGCAGCGCGTCCGTAACATTCGCTGCTTACCTCGCTGACTGTATTTTTGGCGATGAAGCTTGAATTTACGCAATATTTCCAGGCGATAGCGTACTCGGCCTTCGTTGTGATCCCGGTCATGGCAAAAACGAATTGGCTCGTATGCTAGTTCCATTGTCCCGTCTACGCAATAACTCAAAAAAGTTGTCAACAGATGTATTGTGGTATGTTGCTTTGATAGTGTAATTACCCTTTACTAGAATAACAGCATAAAAATTGTACTGGTGGGACTTTTTGCTCATGGTGGGTATCCCTAAAACTTCCTCGTACGGAAGCTCGAGATAAGTGGAAATCCTGGACCTGCTTCATCAGACAACGTAGCGTGACGTCATTCTGAATCCGATGCGAAGCGACTTGCCGGTGGAACGCATAGGGGCAGACGTGGCGTACAAAGGCAATACTGATGGAGAGGGATCTATCACAGGGGTACGCACTTTAGTCGCTAGGGTGAGGGAGTTGTTTATAATTAACCTAGCGGAAAATTTATCTTCCGATCAATGAGGAAATTATTTCAGAACATTTTTTGGTTCCTGTCCCGCCGTTTCACGATTTCATAGGTCCTCACCGGTCAACCTCACTGGTTGCCCAGGTGCCAGGCGCCCTTCACCAAATACACGGTTGCAGAATAAGTATTTCTAGCGATTTTTTTTATTTCCGAGGCAGAAACCACTGAAAAAGAGCGGGTTTACGAGTCGCTAATTCATAGCAAAGAGATTATTGTTTCCAGGAGCAGATCTGTGATTTCCTCTCCATGGACTCGAACGCCAAACGCCGAAGCGATCTGTCTTGTTCCCAATGCTCCTTCAGAGATGATACCTTCAAGGTCGATTTGATGCAGCTCAAAATTGAGTAAGTACCTGGAAATATGGTAAACATGGTATTTTGGTGTGATTGATACTTTTTTGCCAGTACGAAAGCAGTGCAGATCAGACGAGGTAAAGGCAAGCGAACAGAGGGACAGCCTTGGACTGATAGACCGCTCGTCGTGAAGAAGAAATTGTACCGGGTTTCGTGTTCTCAGAGACCCGTGGCCGCGACTAGCTTGGAGGCTGTTTTGCCAGCGGCCATTGGTGCGAAGGGCCTGTTGAGAGGGGTTTTTGGCACACCCAGCACTCAGCCTCCACCAGTGACTTGGCGACAAACCGCGATCGCCCGCACAGCCCTTTTGATTGACCTTTGAACCACGACATTACGGTACTTTTCAGATCCGGTACTCCCCTACCTTCTCCTATCCCAAGAGATGCTTCGCCATCACCACTTCCTCTTTCGCAGCTGGATAGCATGCGATCGAACTTCCAGACCTTACTCAAAAAGTATTTCTAGTCAGTTGAAGCTCTGGTCTGTTTCTGATGTGTTGCCTTTCAGGGCCGGTAATGAAAAGTCGTCAAAATGGCCAGAGGATCGACCTCTTTCTAGCGCGTTTAAGGAGCCTCGCCTCCCTGCAAAACCTGGTGAGTGGAATTTAAAGGTTTTTAGAAATGGCAGGATATCGCCGTCCCCATGAAGAATGTCTGTTATATACTCAAGAATCATTTGTTCAGGTTCTGCCATGGCATCTCCAGTACCTGCTCGCACGGACTCCCCCAACCTACTGGATCCTGCTTCGATTTCTCTGACGTAACTTTGAGTTCTAAGGGTTCATGTGGGCTGGATATAACTTGAGGGTTCATCTTGTTTGCCACAATTAGCCATGACTGCCTTTTTTAAAGTCAGTGGGCACGATTGCTGGAGGCGGGCGGTTGTTGCCAGCGTGATTGGTGGAAAGGTTGAGAGAAGGCTTTCGGCCACACCCCACTCAGTCCTTCCAATAGTGACACTGAAGACAAGCGCCAGCCTTCAGCCATCGTGCCCACTGCTCATTACCTGGGAGGAGACTAGTTTTCATGAAGAAACTAAATGCTTGCCGGATGACGAAGATTCTAAATTTTATGTGAGTTTCACTGAAATCCGGTTTTTCAAGCGATGCGCACTTTTTTGTTGCTTTAATAAGCTAATCTGGCTAGTGATTACTTTTTTGTGTAGTATAGCTTCATATCGGAACGTATTAAAGGATTTATTTCCATGTACTGTATTGGATTTGATATTTCATGTTGTTTCTATATTTTCCATGTCGCATAGATGTGTAGATTACGGTTATTCAGCAGTTCACAGTCTTATTTCTTTTTACGCAGTGTAAAAATTTAATGTGTTATTTGTGCTCGTTTATCAGACGTTGTATGAAATATTGTAGAATGTTTGTTTGTATATTTGTCGATCGACTCATGCGGTACTTAGGGTAGCGGTTTAATCCTAGAGCAGTGTCGGGGCTAGTGTGTGT